AGCTGCAGACCAGAGCTGTTCCTATTCAGCTATCTTGGAATGGCTCATTTCTTATACACTTTTTGCTTAATTATATCCACTCAATGGCTAAAATTACGAAGTATATGCTAATTGTTCCCAACCTACAACTGTTCAAATCTTTCTCACAGGCTCCAAAGTCAAGTCCAAACAGCCTACTTAACATCCCCACCAAGGTAGGGAAATATCTGTTACCTCAAACATTTATTCTTTCTTTGCGTTGTAAACATTACAAATCTTCCTTTCTAGCTACTTTAAAATACACGATAAATTATCATTAACTATAATTTCCCTATTATACTAGTAAATACTGAAATTTACTCCTAACTGTATTTTTAAACCCATTAGCTAACCTCTCTTCACCACTGCTACCCTTGCCCTCCCAGCCTCTGGTAACCACCATTCCATCTCTTTTTCCATGAGATCCACTTCTTTAGTTCACACCCCACACATGAGTGAGAACATGCAATGTCTGTCCTTCTGTGCCTGGCTTATTTCTCTTAATATAATGACCTCCATTTCTATCTATGCTGCTATAAACAAATAGGATTTCATTCTTTTTATGGCTGGATAATATTCTATTATGTATAGATACCACATTTTCTTTATCTGCCAATGGACACTTAGATTGATTCCATATTTTGGTTATTATGAATGGAGCTGCAATGAACATGGGACTTACAGATATCTCTTCGATACAATGTTTTCTTTTTGGGGGGTATATGCCCAGCAGTGGGATTGCTAGATCATATGGTACTACCATTTATAGTTTAAGGAACCTCCATAGTGGCTGCACTTAACAAAGTAAATTTTAAAGTCAGATTAAACTATAGACTGATTAAACCAGTTAATACATTGTACTTCAATTTTTCTTATTAAATATATCTTTATCATGTTTACTACAAATGACAGATACATCCTTGCAATCTTGCCTATTCTTTTTTATCTTATAAAGTGTTACCAAAGGAATGTTCCTAAAACCTCACTTTTTACTCTGCCACTCTTTTGCTTAAAAACTTGTAAAAGGCCGGGCGCGGTGGCTCAAGCCTGTAATCCCAGCACTTTGGGAGGC